GATGAATTCTGCAGGGTAGCGGCGTCGCGCAAAGCTTCCACGGGCACGCGCGACGCCCCGCCAATCGCCCCCCCAAGGCCCGAGCGTGGCAGATGGCCCACCAGCGGGGCGCCGGAGCGAAAGAACTCTACCGCATCCAGGTCGCAGCGGCCCGCGCGAGCGGCGAGCTCGGCGAGCAAATGCCAATTAACGCCCCGCGAGACGGCTTTGGTTGCCGGGTCGGCCGCGCCGAACCGCGCGCGGGTTTCGCTGGGCGCGACGAGGGCGGCGGCCCGAGCCTCGATCCGGCTGGTGGCCTTCTCCCAGAAACGGCGGGCCTTCGACCCAGGGCGCGCGCGCGCGCCTGCCGCCGCGGCCAGACGCGCGCGCGGCTCCTTCGTGGACGTGGCCGCAGTCAACGCCACAGCATCTTTGACGGCTTGCGGCAGCCGGTCAATATCCGAGGCATGAAAAGCAGACCCAACCGCGGCCCTGGCAACGTCGATCTTGCGCCTCTTCCCCGGAGGGGAACCGCAATCCGCCACATTCGCCGAGGCCGCCCCCCGCGCGCCCCCGGTCTGCGCCGAGCGAAACAGAAGAGACACCGAGAACGCACGGGCGCGTACAAGGGGATGGAAGGCGGCGCTGCGCTCGCGCTCGCTTTGCAATCGTGCGCGAATTGTCATATGGGGTGCGCCTCGCACGGCGCTGGCCGTCGCGCGGGCCCCTCAATTGGCGGCGTCATCGCCGGGCCGCGCCCTCATCTTCGATGTAGTCGGCGCGGGCGCGGCGCCGCACTTGTCACCCTTGGCAGTCTTTGCGGCCCTTGCCCTTGCCACCTTTTCCTTTGGCCGCGCCCTTCGCGCCCTCTCCGGAAGAGGAGGAGGAGGGCTCGCAGCGCTGCTGCCAGACATTGCGCATACAACTGCTCCCAGGCGGCTTTTCGCCGCGAGTGTTGGCGTCAAGCTCTGTCTCCGCGAGCCTCAGGATAGCTGGGCGCAAGCAAGCGGCGGCGGTCTCGACGGAGAAGCCACGGACTCCTGCCGCCGATAATTCAACCCAATTGCGGCTGCAACGGACGCGGGGCAGCCGGCGCCGTCGCGGGCACCAGAGAGAGAAGACGGGACGCGGGCCGACAGATGTCGTCATAGACGATCCCCAATTGCGCGCGACGCCCCTGCACATGCGCATCGATGGCCACCTGCCAGACGCCAAGGGAAAGCGGCGCGGCGGTTCCCAAGCGAACAGGGGGGGGGAAGCGCGCACCTGCAGGACGTTCTGCTTGCGCGCGAGCGCGGCGCCGAGTGACATCGGGGCTGTCGCAGCCCCGGCGACCACACATTGGTCAAACGCGATGTGCCACTCCAGCCAGCCGAACTCGCGCCCCCGCCACTCGCCGGCGCCGCCGCCCTTCAGGGCAGCGCCCCGGGGCAGCCAGGTCCGTGAGTCGACGTATACATAAGGATCGGCGTAACCGCGCTTTTTAAGCTTCGCGATCTCGGTCGCAAGTGCGTCAGTCTTGGCCGTGCGCGGCCACGCCCGCGGCGGCAGCCCCGCCAAACTCAGCCCGGCGACCTTGGCGACAATATCCACGTGCTCACTGGGCTCGCTCGGCCCTTTGAGCGCCGCCGTCAGGGCGGCAAGAGCCCCCGCACCTGTCGTGGCCGGGTCGACGTGACCACGCCCTACTCCTGAGGGCCCCCGCCTCTTCGTCGCGAGGCGGACAGCGCCCGCCAGAAAGTGCTGTTTGCCCGGCGTCAATTCTTTCATTTTACTCACATCGAGTGCGACTAGCGCCTCGCGCGACATCCGCAATAGGTTCGCGGCGAACCGAAGGAAACGGCAGAGACGCCCGCGCGCGCGACCTGGGCGTGCCACGCGTCGCCCTTCTCGCATATCACGGCGATTTCTTCAACCCCTAGCGCGCGTCGGGACAGTTCGGCAGCACGCCGGCATCGCGCAAGAAGTCGCGCAGATGCTCAACCGCCATGGTCGAGAGCGCTCTGCGAATCGCGGCGAGCGGCTGCGCGGCGACCACTGCAGCGCTACGCGGAGCGGACGACCCTCGGAGGACCCCGGAGGGCCTGACCCTGAGCGCGGCAGAACTGGCCGAACGAGGGGCCCACCAGGGACCAGGGCGCACATTGGCACAGACGGCTCCACGTAGAGCACGGGCCCTCTAGGGGCCCGGGCACACACTGGCCCAGTGCAGTCCCACGTAGAGCGCGGCACAACCTGGCCAAAGAACGATTGGTCCGCCGAGGACCAGGGAAACAGCGGCTCGGGACAGGCCTGCCAGAGCCCGCGACGCTTTCCGACGCTGGAGCCTGACGAAGGCATTTGCGGCTCAAGCATCAGATATGCGACGCCCGTTCGTGGTGTTATAGCCCGCGGCGCCGGAGCCTCCATCGCGTTTGCGGCTCCGGTGCCGGCGTGGCGCGCCACGTGCGCGAGCGCGACTCCACGGAGAGTCGCAGCAGCGAGAAAGTGATTTCGAGCCAGCAAAACCGACGAGGTGAACTCGTTGAAGTAGTCCATGTAGAAATCACCTTCGCCTGGGGGGACAGGAGCGGGGAAGAAACCTGCGCGAGGAGGAGAGGGCGGCGAGCAAGGACGGCGGCGCGCGCGGAAGGAGGAACGGGGGGGGAAATCGGAACCTGCGCGGGAGGGAGGCGCGGCGCGGCGACCGCCGGCGAAGGACCGCGCGCGCGGAGCAAGCAAATCGGAGGCGCGACGGACCGCCGGCGCACGCGCGCGAAGCAACGGGCGAAACGCCGCCCGACCTGCCAGCGCGGCGCGCTGTCGCCGTCGCGCCTCTTCGGCGAAAATTCCAACACCTACAACGCAGCGAAGCGGCGCGCGGGCAGGGTCGAGGCGCGCCGCACCTGCGGCCCCCACCTGCCGCGCGGTCGGGCGCAAGGCGAGCGCGGCTCCCGGAGCAGCGGCGCGCCTGGGGCCGCGGATCGCGCCTGGCGCTCGGCGTCGAGCCTGCGCGCCCGCTCTCGCGGATCGCACCCTGGGCTCGCCTGAGGCGACAGAGAGCGCGCGCGTCCACAGCCGCACGCGCTCGCGGACGCGGGCCTCCCTCCCCGATCGCGCCCCCGCTCCCAATCTGCGCTTGTGCGGGCCACCATCATCATCATCATCATCATCATCATCATCATCATCATCATCATCATCATCATCATCATCATCAGCATCATCATCATCATGTTCATCATCATCATCATCATCATCATCATCATCATCATCATCATCATCATTGTAACCGTCACCAACGTCATCATCATCCTCATCACACTCACAATCACCCCCATCATCATCATCATCATCATCATCATCAGCATCATCATCATCAAAATAATAAGAATAAGTTTGATCATCATCACTGTCGCCATCGACATGACAATCACTATAATCTTCATCATTATCGCCACCGTCATTGACATCGTCAGCGTCATCATCAGCGTAATCGTCCTCGTCATCATCAGCATCCTCAGCATCGCCACCACCACCATCATCATCATCATGCTCATCATCATCGCCATCATCATCGTCATCCTCAACATCACAGTCACCATCAACATCATCGTCGTCATCACCACCATCAACATCACAATCAACATCATCATTTACCGTCATCATCATCATGAACAGCATCATCGTCGCCGTCATCGACATCGCCATCGTCATTATCAGCGTCATCGTCATCGTCGCCATCGTCGTCATCATCCTCATCATCGTCATCACCATCATCATCATCATCATCATCACCATCACCATCAGCATCATCATCATCATCATCATCATCATCATCATCATCATCATCATCATGATCATCATTATGATCATCATCATCGTGATCAGCATCGTCATCCTCACCATAATCATCACCAGCATCGCCGTCATCATCACCACCACCATCATCATCATCATGATCGTCATGATCATCATCGACACCGTCATCGGCATCGTCATCATCAGCGTAATCGTCATCATCATCGTCATCACCGCCACCATCAGAATCATCATCACCAACATCATCATCGTCGTCATCACAACCATCATCGTCGTCATCGTCATCATCATCGCTATCACCACCATCATCGTCATCGCTCGTCATCATTAAGCATCGTCATCATTATCACCACCAACAATCATCAGTGTCATCATCAGCTGCATCATACGTTCAAAACAACCACCATCATGACCACAACCACCGCCACCACCACCACAACGACCATCATCATCATCATCATCATCATCATCATCATCATCATCGTCGTCGTTGCCGTCACCATCATCATCATCATCATCGTTATCATCGTCGTCATCAACATCGTCATCACAGTCACCGTCATCATCATCATCGTCACGGTCATCGGCATAGTCATCGTCATCATCAGCGTAATCATCATCACCATCACCATCAGCATCACCATCACAGTCACTGACGTCATCGTCACTGTAACTTTCATTGTCATCATCATCATCGTAATCATCAGCATCATCATCACCAACATCGTCATCGTCATCCGTACCAGTAACATCGCCGTCCTCAGAATTATCATCAACATCCTCGTATTACTCATCATCGTCATCAGCATCATCACCACAACCACTACCAGCGTCACCATCATCATCATCATCATCATCATCAGCATCATCAGCACAATCCTCGTGGTCGTTGTCGTTATCGTCGTCTTTACAATCCTGGCCGATTCCTCGTTGTCAGCATCGTCCTCTTATTTCAGGCGCGGAGAGAATGTTTGGGAGAGGCAGAGGAAAGTACGGAGGGAGGGTGAGGAGAGACGAGGACGAGGACAAGGACGCGGGCGAGGAGGGCATGAATCCGCAGTCGGTGATGCCCCTCCTCCTCGAACTCATGTTTCTCCTCCTCCCGTTGATATTCCTTATCATCACCTTCCGCTCCTTCACCGTCCTCTTCCTTGCACTTCCTCTACCTGCACCTCCTCCTGCACTTCCTCTACCTGCTTCTCGTGTTCCTCCTCCGCTCAAGCCGCAGTCGGGGATAATGTTGGGGCAACGCCACCGGTGGTTCCGCCAGTTCCTTGACTGATCGGTTCGGTCGGCGCAGGAGTGGGTGCCTCAAGGGGACAGGAGGAGCTTGGGCACAGGACAGGATAAGTAAAAAACTACGAGAATGAGGAGGGCGATGGGATGAAGCAAGGAGAGGAGGACGACAATATCATCTTCATCATTCTGCTCATTTTCCGACTCCTCCCTCCCCTCCGACCAAGAACGCATTGAAGGGTCAAGTACGACGGCTTCTAGGAATCCGATATCGCCAAGACATCAACGTTGCAGTTATTTGTCAAATCCGCCGACACCGTGGGGTCACGGCGCATGAGATGCTTCCCCCTCCCCAAACCCCTCCCCCGGGAGCCCGGTCCGGCCGGTTTGGAAGAGGGGGGGGGGGGGGCAAAAGTGCCTGCCGCACCCTTGGAGCCTCAGGGGGCCCCAAAACGAACCAAGAGGGCCCAAAAGACCCCCCGGACGGTCCAAAAGGGCTACGAGTCGCCGAAAGATCGCCCCAGGACGCCCAAGACTGCCTCCAAACGACCCCAGAAGCCCCAGAAGCCCCCAAGACGCCCCAAGAAGCCACCAAGAGGCGTCCCGGGAGGCCCTCCAGGAGCAAAAATCGCCTCCTTCCCCAGGGTAAACGTATATTTTTAGCACATTCGCCTCTTGGGCTTTCACGAGGCCCACAACGACCCAAGAAGCCTTCAAGATCGACCCGAGATAGCCCAAGAGTCCCCCAAGAGGGATCCAAGACGGACACAAAAAGGCCCCAAGACGGCCCCACAAGCCTTCAAAACGGCCCAGGATCGGACGCCACCAAGGGGGGGAGAGAGAAAGAAACCGACAGTCGGCAGAAAAAACCCTAGGGGGGCCCATCGGAGAGGACCTTTTTCCCCAATGAGAGCTTGCCTCTGTAGGGGTCCTATCGGGTCGGGCGAAAGGGGGGGATAGCAAAGGGGGGGTTTGAGAATCAGCTCACGTAGCTGATTTTCCCGGCGCCTCCCGGCGCCGGAGGCGGCTATGTATCGAGAAATGGCCCCCTCGGTGAGGCCGAAACCAGCTGCATGCAGCAAATTTCGTAACCCCCCCTTTCCCAATCCCCCCCCTTTCGCCCAGCCCGATCCTAGCGGATTCATATGGTTAGGTTAGGTTTGCCGCCGATTTTCGCCGCACGCCCGGGTGCCCGGGTGCCCGGGTGCCCAGGGGTGCCGGGGTGCCCAGGTGCCTGGGCGTGCCGGGGGTGCCCGGGTGCCCGGGGTGCCCTATAGCCCTATAGCCCCATAGCCCTACAGCCCTATAGCCCATATAGCCATATAGCCCAATGGCCATTATAGCGCCCAGGAGCCCATATAGCCCTGTAGCCCTATAGCCCTACAGCCCTAAAGAGATTATGATTGGGGCTTTTCTCTGGTATCATTTTGTCACCTTGACAGGAAGGCCAAAGACCTGTCAGGGGCCAACGACAAGGCCCCCCTGGGCAAAAAGCTAACCGTCAAAAAAATCGATATCAATGCAAGTGCACTTTTCTCGGAGCTTGACCCCGAGAACTCCGGCCTCTGCTTCATTCAAACCGAAAGCCTGCAGACAATCAGCCGAGCAGAGGGGATCGGGGATTAAACCAGCAATCCCCACGCTTCGCTGGCCTTGCCGCTGGACCCCTGGGCCGCCGTTCAACCCCCCGAAAACCTCCCGAGCCCGCTCCCCAGGCGACCTCCAGAGGCCTAGCTTTAAGGCGCGATTGGGGTGCCTAGAACGGAGCACGGCTCGAGTGTTCTTGCGGCGAGGGACGAGTAAACTCGCTTGGGTCCCAGGGCAGGCAGACTTAAGGCCTCTAGCTCCAGCCGAGACCGTCGCGTAACCCCCGCAGGTGGAACAACAAATGATGGGGGCGAGCTCTTGACCGAGCACAGGGAACTCAAGGAGCTGGTGGCCCCCCTGGGTCCAGAGGGCCTGGCGGGCGTCAATGGCCAGGCTGACCAGGTCGGGGCCCATGGGCACCGCGGGTAGGTCCTGGGAGAGGTCCACGGGGGCAGGAGGGGGAGCAGCAGCAGCAGCAAATCATCCCTCCGCCGCCTCCCTCCGCCAAAGCTCCTCCAGGTCCTCCTCCAGGCCTTCGCCGCCCTCAAGCGACATAAGGGTGAGCCCCTGGGCGCCCACATTATCATAAAGGCCTAGGTCCGAGTACTGCACCTCGGCTCGCGTTATGGACGTAATGAGCTGACGGGCCAGATACAGCATACCTTTCGCGACAAGCATATCCTGCGGGTCGCTGAGATTTGCACCTAACTTGGCCAAGCGGTCGGCGGCATCTTGCCCGTTTTTTTTCAAAGTGGTTGATCCTGCCCTCCCGAACGTCATCCATGCTCGAGTGGGCCTGAAACCTTACAGAAACCTATTCGTGACAAATCATTTGTATCGTGCAGCCCTTTCAACAGGTGCATGCGAGTGTTAGCTGGACTCTCGGCCCAGCTTCGCTGGTTGCAGCAAGCAAGCGTGCCTTTACAATCTGAGTAGAGCGTGAAAGTGCCAACCAAAAAATTGGTGGCCATGAAAACTGCAAAATCTTCGCCGTCGCGGGCGACTTGGTCTGGAAGCGTGGTTGGCGGGACTGCTCCATACCAGCCTGTGATCCAGCGGCGCTCGCTGTCATGAATGGCCACTCCCCAGCCTGCAGAGCGCAAAGCGGGGAACATTCCACCGTGACCCGAGCCGTCACAAAAAACGTGAGCATCCTCCACCGCAAGGCTGGCACCAACTCCTTCAGCCTTGAACTCCCACGCTGGGTCCCAGGGCATCCGCGCGAGGAGCTGACAGGGGTCAGGGAGGATGCCGCGAGCGAACCGCTCCTGCAGTTCGACCGAGCAGTGGGAAAGTCGAGCCGCCGCTGCCTGGAGCTCAGGCGGGAGGTTATCGCGGCGCCAAGCTGCACGGGCAGGGCACTCAAAGTGCCTGTGAAAAAGGGGGCTCGAGCACCGTGACAGATGAGGCAGTCTGCCTCCAGCTGGGGGTCGTGCTGATGCAGCCTGTGCTGGCACCAGTGCGAGCCCATGACAAGGCCTCTCAAGGTCCTCTGCTCCACGGCCCCAAGAGGAGGCCCGGAGAGTGAACCCGAATGGACATTTCGAGCACTCGGCCCCGAAAAAACCTGAGGAGGCGCCATGAGGCCCCAAGAGGCTCATGGGAGGCCCCCGAGAGGTCCAAAAGAGGCCCCTAGAGGCCTCAACACGGCTCCCAAGAAGCCTCAAAAATGCTGCCAGGAGAGCCCAGAGAAGCTCAAGAGCAGAGCCGCGATCCGCCAACCACCCCCGACGAAATCCCAAGAAGCTCAAACCCCAAGATTCCCCAGAAATCGTGCGCGTTCCGCAAACTCCGTTGTTCACTCGTACTGCCGCCCCAAGGGGGTCGGCGGTGCGGCATCAGTCAATGAATCATGAGATCCCACAAGCCCTTTGGAAATATGTGGTTTAGCGTCACAGTCCGTCAAAAAGAATTGTTCCATCTGAGTACATTGTACCCCTCTCCATATTCTACGCCTACACACGATTCCGAACTATGGACTGGCGGATTCGCAAGCAAGTGGACCGTACGATGGCCCATGATGGATCTACGATGGCCCATCGATCATACAATTGTCTCCGACATGGCGCAAGCTGGCAGAAGGTAGCCCATTTGGCCTCCAGGATGGCTCCAGGAAGCCGAAGAGAAACCCCAAGATGGCTCGGAGGTGGCCCCAGAGCCACCAAAGGATTCCCCAGACGCCTCGAAGGCTTCTGGATGGCCCCAAGGTGGCCCCAAAATGCCCCAAGAGAGCCGTAGAGGCCCGCAGAGCACCCCCAGAGATCCCCGAGAGGTCCGCAAAAGGCAAATCTAGTAGATCCAACGGGGTTGTTGCCCCTCCCCCTCCCGGTCGATGGTCCCGAGCGTGGCCCCACGAGAACACCAGAGGCGCCCAGAGGCGTCAAAAGGGAGGTCCAGATGGGCTCCAGGAAGCTCCAGAAGGACCCCACGTGTGTCATCCTGGGGCCCAGCGAGGGAGCTAAAGCTGAGCTCAGAGACGCTAAGGAAAGCTAGGATGCGCAGGTGTCATCTCACGTACGCTGAGCAAATTCTACATCAGCACAACCACTGCCCTGCTTTACATTACGTTGCATCGCTTTGCATTGCTTTGTGTTGTATTGCTTCGCATTGTTTTGAACTGAGTTGCACTGCTTTGCAGTCATTGCTTTGCAGCGCATTGCGATCGCATGTCTTTGCTTTGCATTGCTTTGCATTGATTCGCAATGCAATGAATTGTTATACAATGCATTGCTCTGTCTTGCAGTGCGTTGCATTGCTGTGCATTGCTTTGCATTGCGTTGCATTGCTCCGCATTGCGTTGCAATGCTTGGTATTGCTCTGCATTGCGGTGCGCTGCGTTGCATTGCACTGCTTTGCACTGCTTTGCAGTGCTTCCCATTGCTTTGAATTACGTTGCACTGCGTTGCTTTTGTACATGGTGTTGCATTGTTTTGCACTGCGTTGAATTGCTCTGCATCGCAAAACATTGTCTTGCATTGGTGCGGAGTGTGTTGCATTGATTTGAACTAAATTGCATCACGTTGCATTGCTTTGAGTTCATTAACGTTGCGTTGCATTGACTCGCATTACTTTGCATTAGTGTGCACACGTAGATTGCACCACATGAAGTGCACCACATAGATCGCACCACACTCATTGCTCCACCCAGAGTGCACCGCATATTGAGTGCGAGAAAATCACTGTTTGGGGTTCACACTGGCCAACGTATGTGCATACATATACAAATAACCAAGTACAAATATACCTGTACAGGTTAGCCAGCATGGACCCTGAACAGTGCGTCTCTAGCAATAGATCGTGTGCAATATCTGTGGTGCAATAGGTTGTGCTATATGTATATATATATAGATGTGCCGATTAAGTTGTGCAACCTAGGTTGTGTAGTGTAAACGTGGAGCGACCTATGAGGAACACTACAGTTGCTGTACCATCTATATGGAGCAGTATACGTGGTGCAACATGTGTAATGCAATGTGTGGTGTGCAGTATATGGTGTGAAATGTATGCTGTGCACTCTGTGGTGAGACCTATGTGTTGCCGTCTATGCGAAGTAATCAATAGAGTGCAACACATAGTGTGCAATATGTGTTGTGCAATTTGGTGCAGCACATGTCGTGCAAACTATGTGGAGCAATCGATGCAGTGTGCAGTCTACGTGGTGCGATATTTGAGGTACAGCCTATGGTACGCATTGCAACTATACGTATACATATACATATGCATGTATGAGGGGCAGTATCTCTCTCTCTATATATATATATATAGATATGGTGCAATACATGTGGTCCAACATCTCCTCCTCCTCCTCCTCCTCCTCGGCTCCGCGGGCCGCTGCCTGCTCCCGCTACCTGCAGGAGGGTGCCAGGGCGGCAGGGAGGAGAGAACGGGAGCATGGTTAAGACGAATGGGGGGAAGGTCGATTGTGGAAGGAGGAGGCGGACGCAAAAGAGGCATGGAGAGGGGGGAGGAGAAGGACCGAGGGAGGATAAAGGGTGCTGAGTGGAGAGGAGGGTGCGGGATAGATTGGCCAGAGCAGGGAGGGGAAGGAGGACGGAAGAAGACTTTGATGAGAAAAGAAGGACGGGGTAGAGGGGGAAGGATGTATAAAGCAGGATATAGAGAGATCAGTCGGTATCGAATCAGAAAATCGGCGAATCGGATTATATGTCGAATCGGACCGCATCGACACGGAGTCGAAATCGAGTCGGATCGGCTGCACCAGGATGCACAACCACGCCATGTGAGCGTCGGGCCGAATCGGATCGGAGGGAAATCGAAATCGAATTGGATCGGGCCGGCTGGAATCAACATCGGATCGGATCGATGGGGTCGAAATGGACCCTGGATCGGGAACCAATGAGGGGAGAGATTCAGGAAGAGGAGCTTGGAGGTTCGGAGGGTCGGGAGGAGAGAGGCAGGAGAGAGGCAGGAGAGGAGGCCGGTAGGCCCATGCTCAGGGGAGGCGGGGGCCATGTATCCCCGCCTCCGTACCTCTCGAAGGACCACATTCGCCTTAGGTCGGGCATGTCCCCCTACAGGGGGGTTTTGGACGAAAAATGAAAAATGCTCTAAACTGTCCCCAAAAAAATTGCTTCCATACGATTTTTTCGCTATTTTTGAATATTCCTCCTGTAGAGGCATGCCCGACTTGACATTAGCCTTATGGCGTTTTCTGGGGCCTCAGGATGGCCTGCAGACGGCCCAGACGGGCCAAGCCTTATGGCGTCTTCTGGGGCCTCAGGATAATCTGCAGACGGCCAGACGAGCCAGGATGGCCTCAAGACGGCCCAAGATGGCCCCCAAGGACACCCCCAGTGCGGCCCAAGACGGCTCAGAGCGGCCCTCCAGGAGGTCCCCCACGTAGCAAAAAACCATCGATTACCAATTAGTGGTTGAGCAATGTCGGCGTTCTCGCCTTTCCAAGCTTCTGGCAGCCCAAGACGGCCAAAGAGGCCGTCAAGATGACCCCTGGAGGGCCCAGGAGGCTCCCAAGAGGGCCATAATGCGGCCCAGGAGGGCCCGAAAATGTGAGGGTCACAAGAAGGTCAAGAGTGGTCCCCAACACGCCCTCCGAAGACGTTAGACAGCTCCGAGAGGGCACCCAAGAGAGAGACCCAATGGGGCCCACGGAGCGCCTATCCAAATCTGCAACATCTCATTGCACCGGCCTTGCAGAGGTGCTGCAGCGGATTTCTGCGTGGACTTCTGCGAGGATTCTTGCCCGAAACAGCGAGCGAAAAACGAAGTAAACTTCACGTGGATTATTGTTGGTCTTCCTCTCTGGCCCAACAAGAATTCGCACGAGATCCACCCCTGACTACCTACCAGACGACACCAACCCAACCCGAAGGCCCGAATTTCGGGTGGGGGGGGGTACGGGTTCCATAGGTGTTTTCTCGATGTTCCCCGCCCCCCCCCCAACTGGAAATGGAGGGCAAATCAAGACCTTCGGGTTGGGTTGGGGTGGTTTGGTGGGTGGTGAACCCCGAAGTCCAGAACGAAAACCTCCAGGACAAGTCGGGCCTCGTCTGCTGTTTTCCGCACGAGATCCGCGCTGCGGTGCTGGCGCCACGACAACGAGTGGCCCACGAAGCGCCTGTCCGTATCTGCGGCACCGCGGTCCGGATTCTGAGGCGCGATCCCACGGACAGGCGGTCGCACGGAGCGTCCCGCGTGGGGCATCCGTGAGGAGAGCGCCCCGTACCCGCGGCGTCGTAGCCGAAGGGCCCAGCCTTAGGTCGGGCGTGTCCCCCTACAGGCAGGTTTTGGACGAGAGGCTGAAAATACTTTAAACATATTCTACTAATGTTCAACAAAACTCCAAAAAAAAACGTCCCATGATTACAGTTGTACTATTTTTGAATACTCCTGTCGAGGGATGGGCCCGACTTCAGCCCAGCCCCCGCGAGGCCGTGGATGTGGACATGTTTCCCGCCAATGACTTCTCGCTGCACGGACCTTGCAGACGTGCTGCAGCGGATTTCTGCGTGGACCTCTGCCGATGCACAACCCCGACACGGCGAGTGAAAAACGGAGTGAATTTCGCGTGGATTTTTGTTGGGGTCTTCATTCCTGCCCAAGCAAAATCCGCACGAACTTCACTGCGAAATCGGGAACGAAATTCTCCAGGACACTCCGGGCCCATCCTATCGTATTCCGAACGAAATCCGCTCTGCGATGTTGGCGCCATGAGACTTCACCCCGACCCTGCGCCACCGGGGGCAAGTACGTTTTCCCGAAGCTGTCGTGGATCCAAGACGATGTCCCATTCAACTGTCGGAGCGATTCAACGTTTTCCGGCTGGATGGTTCTGCACAAGCCGCCTGGCACGTTGGGATCGTAATAGTAGCCCATGCCATCCTCAAGCAACGTATCGAACTCGTCCACGTTGCAAGGATTCGTCGGAGGGTCAGTATAAAGATCTGGTGTCCCCCAGCCCGCGTATTCGACCCAATAGACCTGGACGCGCGCATGGCACAACAAAACGTCACGAACCTTCCAGGTTGAGCAGATATGGCAGACACACAGATCGCGACTGATGTCCCCAAACGAACCCTGCCAGCCCCACCTCCCCCAGTAGGAAGGCATTAAGAAAACCCCCCTGGGTTATTCTTAGCACCCGGTTTTCTCAATATTCCAGGCGGGCAGTTTTAGCCGAACGATACACTTAGCACCCGCCGCACACAGAAAACAAAATCCACCATCGGCGGCCGCCCCACTAACGCCAAGAGAGGGTGTCGTGACGAATGTCAAGGATCTAGCCCAGATCTTTGTGCACCTTTATCCCTGGCACGTCTTGCAAAGCCTTGCTAAACTCTGCCAAGCACTGCTAAGCCCTGCTACGCCCAGCTAAGCCTTGCTCAGCCCTGCGAAACCCTGATAAGCACGCACTGCTAGGCCCTGCTAGGCCCTGCTAAGCCAAGTCTTCCGGTGCGGCCATAACGCTCCAGGGTGCGGGGGCGTTATAATCCACCGGAAAAGGGGGGGGGGGTTCTTAATGCCTGCACGTCCAGAAGCAACCTCATCTTCGTCCAGGCCCCTACCGCCTCCTCGGATGTGGGTTCCCGATTGCTTAAGATGGCTCCAACATGAGCCCAGATAGCCTGAGATGGCTTCAGCCATTGCACAAGATGACCCCATGCTGCCACATACGACGTCCACAATGGCTCGCAGATGGAAATCCAAAAACTCACGATGGCTCTGGGGTGGCGCCATAGCCTCCAAGGCTGCCCACGAGAGGCCGAAATCTCAATATCCAAAACAATAAAAACAGGCGAAAGACTCAACCACATGCATCTGCGAGCAACGCAGGGTATGACCCTCCCCTCGAAACCAAAGCGCCGCGACAGGGATGAAACCTGGAGCTGGCTGGCTGACTGGCTGGCTGCCGGGTCCCTATGGGGACCACGAGAAGTGTTGAGAGGGGTGTGCCGACATGGGTGCGGTGCTGCCATGCGAACCCTGCCATTTGGGCCTCCGGTGGAGCCACCTGTGGGGGCCACGAAACATGTTGAGTGTGGTGTGCCGAAATCGGTACGGTGCCGCCATGCGAACCCTGCCATGTGGGCCTTCGGTGGGGCCCCCTGTGGGGGCCACGAAACGTGTTGACAGGGGTGTGCCGAAATGACCTGGCGACTTGGTTCTTTTTCACAAAGAGCTCCCACTGGAGCTTCGGCCCAGCGCGCCGGCCACGCGAAAGGCTTGCCCAGAGGTGGCTGCAAAGGTTTCTCCTGCTCTAAATGGCTCCAAGATGGCCCCAGATGGCCTCCAAGGTGGCCAAGATGGTCCTCGAGTTCGCCCAAGATGGTCCAAAATGGCCTCCAAGACGGCCCGAGTCACCTCCAAGTTTGCGCAAGAAGCCTCCAAGACGGCCCAAGATGGCCTCAAGATGACGGACGACGGCCCAAGAGGCCCCCAGGAGGCCTCCAAGACGGCCCTGGAGGACCCCAAGAGGGCCTCCAGGCAGGCCCGCCGAAGAGGCCAAAATCACTGTTGTTCCTTAGGTGTTCGAAGGATTATACAATTTATTCAAGCCCCCAAAGATCGCCCCAAGATCGCCCAAGAGGCCTCCAAGACGGCCCCAGAACGGCCCAATAGGGCCCCAAGACTGCCCAAGAGGCCTCCAAAACGCCCAAGATGGTCTCCGAGACGGCCCTGGAGCAACCCAACAGGGCCGCAAATCGGCCCAAAGAGGCCACGGCTTCCGACGGCGTCAGACGGGCCAGCAACCCCTAAGACCGGAAAAGAGTTCCCCAAGGAGCCCCCAAAGGCCCAAGGAGGCCCCAAGATGCCTCCGAGAGGCTCCCTGGAAGCTCCCAGGAGGCCCCAAGAGTGCCCCCAGAGGCTCCCAAGATGTCCCCTCCTCCTCATCCTTCTCCTCCTCTTCCCCGCCATCCTCCCCCGAGTGTTCCCCGAAGGGTTTCCACAAAGACTTGGGGAACATATGGTTCGATAACTTGGAAGAGCTCTTGCCACAACACTCGGCCACATGGGAGATTCCAAAAGGCAGGGGGCGGCGGCGATTCGCCGAAGGCGCATGCGATAGTAGATGACCACAGAAATATGAGACACACAGTACTATAGCGCATACGGTACAAGAACAAAACAGAACAGAGCAGAACAGAACAGAGTACACCGCAATGGAGCAGAGGAGAAACATCAGCCGCAGTGCCTTCAGCACAAAGCGGAGTGCCCCAAGGCCCGTGCAGTTCTGAGGGGCTGATGAAGGAATTCTCAGGTTCTTTAAGGTGGCCTGGACCTGGGGCGTTCAAATGAGGGCGGCTGGGCTCGTCGTGTGGCCTTTTTGCAGGGTCGTCCTCAGGCAGCTTTCGCGTGGATTTGGGCCCTGTGGGGAAGGGGGCGGCGAATCTTGGAGCACATGCGGCTTTGGCGTGCTTTGAGCCACCCCCCGATGGAGATGCCCGGAATTCCCAGGGGCGCTCCTGGGCGCCGCTGGGCGTGCTATTGGAGCGGCCCGCAATGGGCCTCCGGGACGGCCCTCTCGCCCGACGGCCCGGCCCAAGACGCCTCCTGGGGCACCCCAAGAGGCTTCCAAGAGCACTCCCGAGAGGGGCCCAAGAGGCAAAATGCAATGAATTCCCTTAGAAAGTTGAACAAATGTCGCGGTTCTGCCTTGTCGGCGTCCCGATGCTCCAAGACAGCCCAAGAGGCCGCAAAGACCGCCCAAGACGGCCTAAGAGACGCCTTAAAGGGCGCCGAGACAGCCCTGAGACGGCCCAAGAAGCCTCCAAGACCCAAGAGGGCCCCAAGAACGCCCCAACAGTAGCCCCAGAGGGGACACGAACCAACATTTCGAGCTCACCGCCGCGAGAGGCCCGAGGGAAGCCCAAAGCGGCCGGCCCCCGAGAATCCCCCCGGAGGCCCCATAAAGCCCCCACGAGGCCCCCAGGAAACCCCAAGAGGCTCCCAAGAAGCTCCCACGAGGCTCCCAGGAGGCCTCAACACTGCCCCAGCATCCCCGAGAGCCCTCCGAAGGGACTCCAAGACGCACCCACGAAGCCGCTGACCCACAAACCAGGCACAGTGGCGGAATGGGCCGAAGGCCACTAAATCCGCCGCCCCCTGCTTGCAGGGGTGCACGGCGTGCTGGATGAGCTGTCAGGTTTTGGTTTTGGTTCTTTTTCCAAAAGAACTCCCCAGTGGGCTTCGGCCCGTCCCGCCGGCCACCCGGAAAGGATGCCCAGGAGCTCAATTCCCCAATTTCCTGCCCCAGACGGTTCCAAGATGGCCTCCAAGATGCCTCCAAGATGGCCAAGATGGTCTCCAAGACGGCTAAGATGGCCTTTAGATGCCTCCAAGACGGCCCAAGATGTACCCAAGACGGCCTAAGATAGCCTCAAGATGGCCCAAGATGGCCCAAGAGGCCCCAAAGAGGTCTCCAAGACAGCCCAGGAGGCCTTCAAGAGGTCCTTCAGGAGGGCCCGAAGAGGCCAAAATCGTTGATTTTCCTTAGGTTTTTGAAGGTTTTTTTGCGTTTTCTTCTTTTCGGCCTTCCGACGGCCCAAGAGGCCCCCAAGATCGCCCACGAGGCCTCCAAGAAGGCCCTATGACGGCCCAAGGGCCCCCCAAGACGGCCCCAAGAGCGCCCCAAGACGGCCCAAGAGGCCTCCAAGACGCCCAACATGGCCTCCAAGACGGCCCTGAAGCGCCCCAAGAGGGCCCCAAGACGGCCCAGAGAGGCCCCCAAGACGGCTCCAGACGGCGTCAGACGGACCAGGAACGCCCTAAGACGGCCAAAGAGACCCCCAGGAAGCCCCCAAAGGCCCCCAAGAGGCCCAAGGAGGCCCCCAAGATGCCTCCAAGAGGCCTCGAAGAGGCCCCCAAGAAGCCCCCAACAGACCCCAAGGGTGCCCCAAGAGACTCCTAACAACCCTCATCCTCCTACTCTATTTCTTCCTCTTCCTCTTCCTGTTCATAATCATTCTCTCCCATGTGTTCCCCGAAAGCTTTCCAAACCGACTCGGGGAACTCATGGTCCGATAGCTTGGCCAAGCTCTAGTCCAACTTTCGGCCACATCGGCGTTTCCAAAAAGGCAGGGGGCGGCGGTGATTCGCCGTAGGCGTCTTCGATCCGCCGCCCCCTGCTCGCAGGGGTGCCAGGCGTGCCGAATCCTTTCGGTTTTGGTTTTGGTTCTTTTTCCAAAAGAACTCGGCTCCCAACGGCGTCAGACGTGCCAGGAACCCACCAAGATGGCCGAAGTTGGCTCGAAGCTGGCCCAAGACGGCCCAAGAGGCCCCCAAGAGGGCCTCCACGAAGGAGGGAAAAAGCCAAAAACCTTGATGTCTCCTAAGGTTTTTGACGGAATTTGACATTTCCTTCTTTTCGGCCTTCCGACGGCCCGAGACTGCCCAAGAGCCCCCAAAGATCGTCGCCCACGTGTTCCCCGAAGACTTTCCAAACCGATTCGGGGAACACATGATCCGATGGCTTGGCAGGTCTGGAACGTCCGGCCACATAAGCGCTTCCATAAAGGCAGGGGGCGTCGGTGATTCGCCGTAGGCGTCTTCGATCCGCCGCCCCCTTGTGATTTATCACAGGGGTGCCTGGCGTGCTGGATCCTCTCGCTTTGGGTTTTGCTCTTTTTCCAAAAGAACTCCCCCTGGGGCTTCGGCCCGTCCCGCCGGCCACCTGCACAAGTCAAAGCCTGAAACGGCAGTTCCGCTCGGGACATCCTCAAACAATCCCGAAGATGGCCCAACATGGCCTCCAAGTCCGTCCAAGATGGTCCAAGACGGCCTCCAAGACGGCCAAAGAGAGTCCAAGACGGCCCAAGACGGCCCAAGAGGCCCCACAGAGGCCTCCCAGACGGCCCAAGAGGCCTCCAAGAGGTCCTCCAGGAGGACCCGAAAAGGCCGAAATCATTGATTTTAGGTTTTTGAAGGATTTTGGAATGTGCTTCTTCTCGGCATTCCGACGGCTCAAGACGGCCCCCAAGATC